TATCTTTCAAAAGAAGTGAGATATATAGGCTCAAAGTGGACGATCCGGGTGTCGTTCTATTAGAGGTTTTACGGTATATTAACGCTTCTGGTAGGGGCCAAATTTTTCAAAAAGTGTGAAACAGTGAAAAAACTACTGTTTCAAAATTTTTGCAAATTGTAAACGTTCCAAATTCGCTCCATTGAGAAAATTGGATATTTCCTAGAAACACATTTTAAATAAAACCGGTTAAAAATTGATAAAAATGATGAAAAAACATGATAACATTGAAAAAAAAAGTTGCAGTTTCAAAATTTTTCAAAAATATCAATTTCATCGAATTTCGTATTGTAACCAAAAGGCTAAAAAAAATTCTGGAATTTCCAAAAATTTTGCCAAAAACATCAATAAACAATCGCTGTTTCAAATTTTTATAAAATTGTTAATAGTAAAGATTTTTGAAACAGTAATTTTTCCTAAAAATCACGATTTTCATCGATTTTGCAGGCCAACTTTTTTTGTGAGTTTCTCAAATTTTCAGATCAAACTGATTGTATTTTGGTAAGACTATGAGGTTAATCAAATATAAACGTATGAAGAGTTTTGAAAAAAAAAATTGAAACAGCAATATTTTTTATTTTTACAAGTTTCAAGTTATCAGAATTTTCAGACTTTTAAGCGCACTTACATATGTCTAAAATAGCAATTTTAGTTAAATTGAGATTTTCAAATTATTTCGAAAAGTTTCAAAAAAAATGAAACGGCAATTCTTCAAATTTTCGACTTTCTGGGCGAAAACATGAAGTTTTGTCAAATTGATTATTTTTTCTGTGAAATAAAAAGATCATTGTAAATAAAATTATTGGAAAATTCCAAAAAAAAAATTGAAATTCAGAAATTCAGAAATTCAGAAATGTCTAAAAATAATCTACAAAAATTGACATGATTGGGAAGTTTTTGAATTCAAAGATTTATTTTTTAAAAATCGATTTTTCCATCTTTCGGGGGCAATAGAATTTCTGGATTTCTGAACTTCTGAACTTCTGAAATTTTTAAAAATCGGAATATCTAGCTTATTCAGAAATTCAGAAATTCAGAAATTCAGAAATTCAGAAATCCAGAAATTCAGAAATTCAGAAATTCAGAAATTCAG